GGAGTTGCTGCAGTGGCATACTGTAAGATAGATGAGCAGATGAGGACAACGGCTTAGGATTAAACGAGCGTTCCACCCGCCAATCAGAATTCAGAACCCTAAGGCAAAGGGGTTTTTTTTTTTTTTTTAATTGTCATTAAAGTGCGTAAGGTGTATTTATTTATTTTTTAGACATTAATTTAAATAAAAATTAATAACACTAATTTTATCAATTACTCCATATTTAATTAAAAATTCACATAATATAAAAAAAATTACATATCAATCTTAATTTAAAAAAAAATTAAAGTTTTAACATTAAATAACGCCACTTTATTTAATTAAGATTTAATTCAAAATTTATAAATCTACATTATTAAATAAAAAATTAAAGTTTTAACATTAAATAACGCCACTTTATTTAATTAAGATTTAATTTAAATTTTATAAATCTACATTATTAAATATTGATACATAAATTTAAAAACTAATTATATATTTTAATATAATTAACTTCTAAATTATATATTAATATTTGTAAGGTGAATTTTTTAATTTTGAATTAGATTTTAATTAAATGAAATAACATGTTGAAATTTTAAATTTTTTTACACTCAAGACTAATATGCATTATTCTCTAATATAAAACTTAAATTAATACCATCAAATATATTTTTTATTGGTACACTTATAATCACATAGCTGTGTCATGATTTTCGTGTCTATACTTTTGAAATTTATATATCTTTTGTATTTCTTCATTGATGTTGGGCAAATCCCTTGATAATTACAATAATTAATATTTATAATTATTAATTATTTGTATTAATTAAATTAAATAAAATGAATCTTTTTAAATACAGTATTTTACAAATTTAATAAATTTAACATTCTTGTTGGTGGCATTACCATTTCCCCGAATCCACTATATATATATATATATATATTTGTTTTACCCGGCCCAATTTTTCAATCCCAATTTGTGATTGGTCAATAATTTTGTTGCGGCCAATTCCTCTCTCCTTTGTCTTTTCAACCTACGCGCACCGACCACACCCCCCTTCTCCTTCAAATACCAATCGGGCAGCAGCCGTTCAACTACTCCTTCTCTCATTCTCTCTCTCTCTCTCCCTGGATTCTGGGGAGTTGAATTTTGTGGCTGGGGTTTAAGCTGAGTTGAGATCTTAATTCTTTACAATCATGGCGGTTTCGAGTTGTTGTGCTACGAAATTAACTAGTGCGAAATGGGACAAGTTGCTTCTGTATTCGTCGTCCTCCGCGGCTGCGCTTCGGCACCAGCTAATGATGACACCCTTTTGCTGCAGGCTCAATCGCGGGAGGAAGAATTTGGTTCAAAAGAGTGTTGTGAGATGTGTTGTGGCTCAATCTGACGCCGCTGTGGTGTCCGACAAGATCGAGCCTTCTGAGACCGCTGCCATCTCTGCTCTCGAACAACTCAAGACCTCCGCTGCTGAACGTAAGATTCTTATCGTCTCTTGTTCGTGTGATTTCGATCCCATAATTTAATTATGCTAAATTCATCATTTTGTTTGTGTTTTTCCATTCTCTGATCCATTTGATTCATCTTTGCTTGATATGATATCCTATTTCATATTTATTTACAACTATCCAAGCCGCCTTATAATCAAACGGCTTACTGCTTCATATTACGAGGTACTCTCTTTGATTCAAAATATAATTTATTTTATTTTTTATCTAATATTTTTTATAATACATAAATAATAAATTTAAAAAAATTTTAATCAGGTAAAATTATTTAATAAAAATTACATAAAAAATACAATTTTAATTATCAATTAATATATTATAGAAAAGTATTGTCTAAAAATCAGTGCATAAAAAGTTCAGGGCTGAAATGTTTTGTTTTTTAACTTCCAGTTGAGTTTTGGAATTGCACCCAATGTAAGTCATTGCTCCAAGCATTTTCTTTTATTTTTCCCCCTGCCCATCAAATTTTCAATATATTAGTAAGTAAACGGTTTTTAGTATAACAGACTGAGATCATAAGAGATTTCACTATTTCAGGTTTGAATCTCTTACTAGAATAAGACGTTTAGATATCAAAAGAATGATTATCTTTTGATCACTGTTAACTTACGTGAACAGTTTATTGGTGTTGCCGAGGGATGATGACTCAAGTATTGGTTGTCATTGCGCAAATCTGCATTTAACAATGAACAAATGTATAGCTGAATTATATGAAATTCAAGGGGAAAAAAGAGGAACAAAAAATTATGTATTAAGATTAGAATATTTTCTAAAGTAACACCCAATCTTGTTCCAACGAGCAAAATTGGCGCATTAGGAGCATAATGTCTTAGTTCAGGTATGCACTGCCAAAATATTAGCAGAAGTTAAGGTCAAAAATATCTTTGAAAAAAAAAATGATTTTGTTTGTATATATAAAAGCAAAATTCATTACCTTCTTGAAGATATTTTCATAACTGGCCTTGTTTATGAGAGTAAAGGCCAGCAAAAACACATCAGCTCCTCTGTAACTCACAGGCCTGAACCTGTTCTGATCTTCCAGTCCTGTATTAATTCATGAAAATGTAAGTGATTTTGGATATGTAAACCTTAACTTCAGTTTCTGTCTTTAACCTGTCAGTGATTTTGGAGAGACTCACAAAATACAGTTTTAAAACCTGCGTTTTTAGTTCTGCTAGACCAGGTCAAGCTTTAAGCGGTAGAACCTGCACTTGTGGCTTCTTAGAAGAGTAGCTTTGGATCATTGACCATTATTAAGCAATGCAACATAAGATGGGTGATCATTGTGGTTCTTTGTCTTCATTGATGATTGCTCCCATATTGCACTTATGGCTTCTTTGAAGAGGATCTCTGGATGATTAACCATTATTAAGAAATGCAACAGCATAAGTTGGGTGATCAATTGTGGTTCTTTGTCCTCATTGATGTTGCTCTCATACACTTTACTAATATATATCTACAGAAGCTATCATAAATTAAATCTCTTTCTAGAAAAAGAGATGTTAACTATTCGCATTCTTGTAAACAAGATGAAGAAACTAATTTGGAACTTGAATTTAGCCATTTGGGGTCCATGGTTGTTTTATGTATCCATAGGTATAGCTGAAACTGCTTATTCTTTGCTGTTCAAAAAAACGTTTTATGAAATCTCAAGTGACAAGTTGGTTTTAAGGGTGCCATAAATTTTATAGTGTCATAACGAAATTTTGTTATCCTTGCGTGTATCTTTTCCTGTTTTACTGAAAATCTCCCAATTGGTATGTGTCAGGTTATACAAAGGAAAGAAGTAGCATTGTGATCATTGGGCATAGTGTTCACACTGCACCGGTGGAGATGAGGGAGAAGCTTGCCATTCCAGAAGCAGAATGGCCACGGGCCATTCAGGAGTTATGCAGTTTGAATCATATTGAAGAGGCTGCCGTTCTTAGCACCTGCAATAGAATGGAGATATATGTTGTAGCTCTGTCTCAGCAACGTGGGGTCAAAGAAGTGACTGAATGGATGTCGAAGGTGCCTTTTTCCATATTTCTTGCACAATCAAAACTATCCAAGATCAAATGAATGTACCAAATTTAGCTTCATATCAAAACTTGATCTTGGTATTGGTTCTCAAACAAATAGTGATTTGCTTGCAGAATAGTGGAATCCCAGTTTCAGAGATCTATCAACACCGATTTTTGCTATACAACAAGGATGCTACAAAGCACCTCTTCGAAGTATCAGCTGGCCTTGACTCCCTTGTTCTAGGGGAAGGTCAAATTCTTGCACAAGTTAAACAAGTTGTCAAAGTTGGGCAAGGAGTTGATGGCTTTGGAAGGAACATTAGCGGGCTGTTCAAGCATGCAATTACTGTTGGGAAGCGGGTTAGAACAGAGACTAACATTGGTGCTGGGGCTGTTTCTGTTAGCTCTGCTGCTGTCGAGCTGGCTTTCATGAAGCTTCCGGAATCTTCACATGCTACTGCTCGAATGTTGGTGGTTGGGGCGGGGAAGATGGGCAAGCTTGTGATCAAGCACTTGGTAGCAAAGGGGTGCACAAAGATGGTGGTTGTAAACAGAAGTGTGGAGAAGGTTGCAACCATCCGAGAGGAGATGAAAGGGAAAGGCGTGGAGATTATATACAAACCCCTCACAGACATGTTATCTTGTGCAGCTGAAGCTGATGTGATCTTTACCAGCACAGCATCAGAAACCCCATTGTTTTTGAAAGAGCATGTCAAGGATCTTCCCCCTGTCAATGCAGAAATTGGGGGTTTAAGGCTTTTTGTTGACATCTCTGTTCCGCGAAATGTTGGGTCATGCGTTAATAATGTTGAAAGTGCACGAGTTTACAATGTTGATGACCTTAAGGAGGTTGTTGCTGCCAATAAAGAGGACAGACTACGAAAAGCAATGGAAGCTCAGACAATTGTTACTGAGGAAATCAAACAGTTTGAAGCTCGGAGGGCTTCACTTGAAACAGTCCCCACCATAAAGAAATTAAGGGCCTACGCAGAGAGAATAAGAGCTGGGGAGCTGGAGAAATGCTTATCAAAGATGGGAGATGATATCCCAAAGAAAACAAGGAAAGCTGTGGATGATCTTAGTCGTGGAATTGTGAATAAACTTCTTCATGGTCCAATGCAGCATCTGAGATGTGATGATTCTGATGGCCGAACACTAAATGACATCCTGGAGAACATGCATGCACTCAACAGAATGTTCAGCCTTGAATCAGATCTCTCTCTTGTTGAACAGAAAATTCGGGCAAAGGTTGAACAAAACCATGAGTGAATAGTGAGTAAACAATACTTCATTCTCTTCCTCAGAATGGAATAAGAGGGTAACTTCCTCAGCCATGCAATCACTTGAGTCACATGTCAATTTTTGTCCAGGGATTTTTTTTTTTTTTTTTTTTTGGGTTTTATCGTAGGCATCTTTTTAACACTGTGTTGGTTAGTCGGTCAATTCTTCTGTGTTTCGATGACTGAAAAACGTTACTCCGTATAAACAAAGGGAAATTTCAGCAGGCCTTTTCACATTCATGTGTAATTATTAAAATTT